GGGAGGAAAACTGGGGGCAAGGCCCTCTTTCAATGTACACTCCACTTATAATGCAAAAGGAAAACACAAGCTAGGCAGAACAAAGGAGAACAGTGCCCGTGTGATGCTGATAAAGAGGTCAAGGAGAGGGGTAGCATTTGAAGCTGGTCAAACTACAGGTTTGCTCCCCATTCACCTAAGATCTCAGCATCAGTTCACATTTTCTTTTTCTTCCTCATCCCACACCTAAAGAAGCTCCCAAAATCCTATACTGAGCTTAGCTTGTTTTTAAGAATTCTTTTGCCTCCCCTCTCTCCCTTGGGGATGCTCTCATTACATCCTCATCCTGTCTTGGAAACCTAAGAGAGTTTTCATCCTGACTTAGAATGGTACTGGGTGGGAGAAAGCCAAGGGTGTGTGTAGAGGGAGTAGAGACAAATCAGTTACTATCATCACTCTGATTGAGGCTTGAGTGATAGCCTTCTCTCCTCTGTCAACTATTTTCAGACCTGTCCTCTCCAACCTGATCTCAGCCTGGATTCAAAATGGAATGATCCAACATTCCCAAGTGGATCAACAAACAGACATCAACAACATACAACATAAATCAACAGCAAAGTGGGTTGGGAGAGGGAAGAAGAAGGTATGAGAAAGATACAGTCATTTACAAAAAAAAATTAAAAGTGCTTTCTTTTTAAAGGAAATCTTTGGCAAGAATATATTGCAGTGCTGTGTGTCTCTGTGTGTGTATGTGTGTGTGTGTGTTCATGCCTACCTGTGAGATACAATCTCTGACACCTAATTCCACATGGTCTCTTTCTACCAGCATCTTACCCAAAGATGGTGCCCACTCCAAGATTTGAACACAATTCTCTTCCCCCATTAGATCCCCTGGAAAGTCAAAACCAGTAACTCCAGGTACCTCTAAACATGTACAGATTAGGAACATTAAGTTCCAGAAAGCTGGTTCTTCTTATAGTGATCTTGGGTGGTATGAGGGGACAGTTTGCTTTCAAACTTTAAACAGAGTCCCTTCAAAAATAGGGTCATCAGGGTTGGCCTGAAACAAGACTAGGAAATAAGACAGCCAGTGGGCACAAGGTGAGAGAAGTGAATGTGAAGGCTGATCCCAGATCTTAGCCAGAGGACCTGGAGCTGGGTGATGAGGGGGTCTGGCAATTCATCTGATATGAAGCAGTGATGAAGGATCCAGACCAGGAGCCCAGAATTCTTCAGGTTGAGCCGTGGTAAAATGAAGGTGGAAAACTCTTGACTTGACAAAGAGCAAAATATATGTCTTTCCCTATTTGGGCACAGAACTAGGGTTGATGGGGAAGTAAGGAAAAGGTTTAAAAAATTCAGGTGTCTAGCTTGAAATTCTCAAAAGGAAGGGGACTTCTGAGCAACTTCAGTCACAAAGACTCATGGTCTTACTTACGAATAGGGAGCAGATGATGGCGAGGGTGGTTCATCCCTGCTCCCTACCTTCCACAAACCATTCTCATTTCCATCTCCCTGATACAGCATTGCCACGCACTTACAGTATTTTGGAGGGGAAAAATATGAAAAGATACACAAGTAATGATACACACACCATCCATATCCTCCACATACATTCTGAAAGCTCCACCTCCGTGCATGCACACACGCAAAGGGTCTTTGGCAATGGGGTTCAGCTCCTCACATCTAGGGTGCTGTAGGAGCTGCTGAGCCTTGGGCTTAAAGGGACACTTAAGGGATTAAATGATGAAGGGAATGGATGTACACAACCTTACCCTGGGATGAACCCACTTAACTTCCCCACCCCCTCCACCTCATGAATATAGTGAAGGACAAGATTGGCGGGAGGTGGTTCAAGAATAATTCAAATATAAGGTCTCTTATCTCTCAGGCTTTAGTTATACATACAAGAGTTCATACAGGAAGGGGTGGGACACAGTATATACCCATAGGGAGGTGATAAAACAATATGGAAAAAAATAAATATTTCTTGTCAATTTACCTGTCTTTTTTTTCCTTTTCTTAAACTTGATTAGCTTACATTATTCCATCAGTATATCTCATGTATATATTATATATATATATATTTATATATATATATCAGTACAATGCCACTCACTAGGGAACCCAAGTGGGCTTGGGGAGCCAAAGTATTGAATAACAATGAGTTCTTGTTTCTGGTTTGGATTTCTTCGGAAGTATGGGGCTTCACGGCAGGGAGTCTGGGCGCCTAGGTTTGTTCTCATGCCTTCTACCCCATATGGCTTGGTTTTTTTTGGAGATACAAGATAGGGGGAAAGAGGGACTTTGGCATTGTAAAGTAGTCTACCCAGTGAGCATGCAGGAGGGTTGTCTACCCTGAAGATATGACCAAGCCTGAAGCCCAACATGGTCTGGCCCGGCCTGGATGGTGACAGACATCTGTTCTCCAGGGAGGCTGAGCCTGCACGTGACAGAGAAAGCCAAACACTTCTAAAGCACTTGTGGAGAGGAGGACAAGGGCTGAGTCTTCCCCCTTGGACTTCCTGAAGGCAAAATTGGGTAGACCTTTCTGAAGAAGAGTCCAACGGGATTCTGAGCTTCCAATATGGCAGGATGGCTAAATCCCTGTGATCCCAATGGGCATCATCTTGTGAGCAAGTCTAAGAAGCTAGATCCAGGGAAAGGTTCAGGATACAAGGCACAAAGAGTGGGGTAGGAGATGTCAGGGGCAGCAGTCAACCCTAGGGAGAATGGGAGGGACATGTCTTGCCCCACATGTCTTGAGGACCGTGGGTCAGGGTTCAGCATCCCCTGCCTCTCCTCCTGTCCAGTTCTCCTGACTCTCTCCAGACCCTCCTGAAGGTTTTGGGTTTGTACATCTCCCCAGAACCAAAGTTCCCCAGCCTCAATGCCATGATAAGGCAGGGGTGTTGGCTTGTATGGGGAGATCCTTAATGCAGTGCTCATAAGTGGCAGACATCTGCTTCCTGCTCTTCTGTGTCTGAGGAGGAGAATAAGGAACCATCCAAAGGTTGCCAGAGCTGACTAGATGGGATGAAAAGAGGTCCCAAGCTGACATCCACAATCCAAGGTGATTCTGGGTAAGGAGATAGGCTCCCTCCATGTTATATTCCTGGTCCTACAGTGACCCCAGGAGATGGTAGAGATCATCTTTGGGGAGGAAGGACAACTTCATGCGCATATTATCTATATAGTTGAATCTGGAGTTATATATCTAATACACGCAGGTACTTACATACATGCATAGCCATTGCAGAACAAAGAGACCTTAGTACACCTTGGGGTATATGACACTTATTAAAGGAAAAAAAAGTTTGTTTTAGATTTCCCTCCTATTTCGTTTGATA